GCAACCGCGATATCCCTCGGTGATGTCACCGCTGTTGATTCGCTTTGCATAGCTTCATGGTCGCGGGGACTCGGCTAACGTCGGCTCACTTCGGCTCCGCTCGTGACGTCACCGCGCGTTGCGCATTGTATAGCTACCAGGATGCGGGGTGATTACTCGCCTATTACGCGAGCGCTACGTTACAGCTACGTGCAGCTGGGGAGGTAGGGGTCAACATGTCACAATACTTATTTAACAATGTCAGTATATCAGAACACATCATACAAAAACTGATGCTCTCACTTCTGTTCCTGTTGATGTTTTCTTCTATTACTGTGACTGCTGAATGATACATTACAGATGCAACCTGAAAATGGCCCCTCCTCACTATGCAGACCTTGTTGACTCTTCCACACATCCTGGGTTCTGAATAATTTATTTCAAACAATATATAATCTGTAGGAACTATGCTACTGTCAACACAACAAATATTAGTATTATATTTAGATCTTTATTTACTGCAACATGTTTCGGTCATACATGACCATCAGGCAGGAATACGTATAGTTATTGAAATACCGATACGGATCCTTATCGGTGCAACGCATTGTATTAAATATTAACATAAAAATTTGCCTGAGTTTAGTGTAGTTAAAATAGCAAATACATGATTAAGAATAAAAATAAAAGATAGAATAAAGGTGTACATATATAAAATGTTGAAATATTATTAAAACATATTATTTCAGACATCACACCCGAATGTCCGCAACCCAGTATGTACTCAATGATCAATCATGTAAATTGCGTATTACACACATGAAAGGGAAACACCGCTCCCCACTAAATATGCATAAGTAATGTGATAATCTCTGAAGTTCATTCTCGGGAAATGAACCAATTATACTTGTTACTTTATTCTTGAGAGCTTCACGTTCTTAGGGGTAACTCTTATACAAATTTCCATTTAAGTTTTTGCAAAAACAATACTGAAAAATATAATTAACATGAGGTCATCTGGGAGACCAGGGTGTTTTGCCGGATATCCTATTCTTGAACTCCTCACCACATCACACGTGTCAACCACATATGGAATCAGCCATTTTTACTTGAAATCCCCATACTATACTTCTTCAGTAGTTGATTTGAAAGGAATTGAATATATCACTCAATACCACCATGTGTCAAGACTGCTGAAAATTTACTGGGCCAACTGTTTACTGCCACTTACAGTACACCTCCCCCCATTTTTACAATGTGTAACTGCCATTATAGATGTAAAGTAGCCTACATGGATGTGAATAATCTGCAGTAAAGTGCAAAGTCATGTGAAGGTAATATTTACAGTGATGGAAGTGTTTCTTATGCACTGCATAATATTTGCATTCCACAACTAACATAAAGAGTTTCATAGTAATATTAAAGGATAGTGTTCCAAGGCATATCAATGCTCTCCACCATGAAACATTATTTTTTCTTAAGGTTAAAAAACAGCTCAAATGTCTTAATCATAAAGATTATAAATGATACACACTCCATCCCAAGTGCAAACAATATATATTGTGACATGTTGACCCCTACCTCCCCAGCGGTACGTGGCGGTAACGTAACGCTCGCGTTACTACGGTAATAGGCGAGTTCCCGCCCCG